TTCCCCAACTCGAATTTTCTTGCTGGTCCCTTGAAGTAATTTGTTTACTCTTTTTTCAAACGTTTGTGGCTGATGATCGCATCGCAGGAGGATCAAGACGTGCTGGCCGTCTACTTCCGCCCGGTCTCGACAGTGGCGTACATTCTCAGTCTGGGTGTGGTTCAAGAATACCGAAGGGTCGGGATTGCGTCGCTCTTGTTGGATTCGTTGATTCGCCAACTCACGACACCCGAAGCTGTGCACTGCAAAGCGCTTTTTTTGCATGTTCTGACTTCTAACAGTTCTGCCATCCGTTTCTACGAGAATCGGAATTTCAAGTGAGATTTCATCCAGACGGCCGTTACTTTTTTTTTTTTTAATTTTTCCGTTTCACGCGATGTCAACCCCGTTTTTCCTGTTACGGTAATATCTCGTTTTAACAAACTTTTTCGGACCACAGAAAAAGATTCTACTGTATTACTGAATAATTTGTTATAACGAGATGATTAAAAATAATTACTGTAGAAATTTTTTTATGTCAGAACTGCTGCGTATTAAATCTTGCTATTTTTGCATTCTTCGATTTTTTGCTACTGTTTAAAAAACTGAGTGATCTTTGCAACGAAACATAAACTTGGCTCCTGATTATGAATTTCGTCAGTTGCTTATTTTAAAACCCTGCAAATAGTCTGTAATTAATTTTTCTAGATTAATTTTTAAATTCTGGGTGGCATTGATATTACTACTGCATTTTAATTCCAGAATGAGTCACAAAAGTGACTTAACTTCCGTGTTCCTCTGATTTATACATGATAATCACGGAAGTTTATTCTCGACTGTTCCGTAGCGTTTTAGGGCGTCGGGTAATTTTTTTTTTCGAAGCTTTCGCTGCCAGTTCTTATTCACTTTTGTGCGTCTGCCTCCCAACATTTTTTGGACGTCGGCCATGTACACTCCTTGCTGATGCATGATGATTGGTCGAGGAGTATGCCAAAAAAATAATGTACTAGAACGAATGATTTCTTCGTTTCTTTGTTCATGTTTTTGTTTTCTGCATTGATTCGTTGATAGGTTGCAAGCGTTCCTCCCCTACTACTACGCTATCAACGGGCAGTTCCGCGACGGGTTCTCGTACGTGCTGTACATAAACGGCGGTCATCCGCCCTGGGGACCCACGGACTACATCAAGTACGGCCTGGGCGTCTTGGGCCGGCTGGACCCGTGCTCGTGGCCGTCGCGGCTTTTGCACAATGCCCGTTCCGTTGTCCCGTCCATCTTCACCAGCCTCGCCCGAGGCACGATGGCTCTAGGCAAATGAAGACGAGTATCACTCGTAGTGTGGTAGTCGAACAAGAAGAAAAAAAGGATGAGACACGTCTTCGCGCCCAACGACACGAAAACACTAAGGAAGCAAACAAGAAACACAGCGTCGGGTGTGTAAAATGGAAATTCCTTGGAAGTTTTCTTCTTTCTTTCTTTTTG